TGCAGACAGTACCATTTCGATCTTGTTAGATCTCATCAGTGCGGCTCAGGATTTCAAGAATGAAACACACGACAGACTCAAACATGACTTGGATCAGCCCTGTGTGACGTTAATGTATATATGATATTCTATATATTATGTAGAATACTGTAACACGCCTTTAGCAGTGAACTGGGCTTAATCTACTAACACCATCCCCATATACTAATTTGGTTTGTCAAAACCCACATGGTTATGTTTGTTGATATGTTAATCATACAATTATCTGTATCCTGTATGATTTTAGGGTGCAGTGGTAAACTATGTAGGGGAGGTGCGGTACTTGATGGAACCAGCTGCCAGTGTAGGTGCCCTGAAGGACTTAGGTACAACAGAAAACTTGAAATATGTGATGGTAAGTGAACGTATGCTTAAGAACTTTTATAATAATCAAATTAGTGCTACAAAATTAGAATTTGACGTTCTTTCTATGCATGACAACGCCTTCTTAGGCCTATATCACATTACTTTGCATCTTTAAAAAAAAAAAAAGAACTTTTGTTATTCTACTTATTCAGATATGAATGAGTGTAGAAAAAATCCAGATATATGCACCGGTGGTGTTTGTGTTAACACAAACACTTCATTCATATGTTACTGCAATGAAGGGTACAAACGAGCGGATGACGGATACACCTGCCAACCTGTGGAGAGAGGTTAGTTATTATTATTATCATGGAGGAATTAGTTTAGACTAATTCCTCCATGTCGTTGTTGTTATTGTTATTGTTATTATTATTATTATTATTATCATTATCATTATCATTATCATTATCATTATCATTATCATTATCATCATCATCATAATCATCATCATTATCATTATCATTATTTACTTTTACTTTCTAAATCTATAGGGGGCGCTAAACTGAGAAAAAATTTTATGATTATTTTACAGATATTCTAATTATTCGGTATAATGTAGGATATGAAGCATTATCAGTATTTTGTGTTACTGTCATGTTTATACAATTTGTGGTTCGTTTGTAAGGTTAGGTGTAAGTTAGATTAAAATATATAAGAACCACCTGGAAAGGTAGGCCTACCGTATGCTGCATTACTCAATATGACATTTCCTTTTTCTTTAAAGAGGGTATGAACGAGTGCTTCCCGTGGCAGTTTATGTGTGCTTCTGGTCGTCAGTGTGTGGCGGAATCGCTGGTATGCGACGGTTTTCAGGATTGTCACGACGGCTCTGACGAGAGTGACTGTAGGTTATTGAATTTTACGTTTTCTATAAATAGTGTTACTAAATTTAAAAATACAACTGCTGATAGAGTTACATTCCAGGATCATCGTATATAAATATATAGCTGCATGGGTTTTGTTACTTGCCTTTTTGATTACACAATGAATAAAAGCTACCTTTCAATGTGCAAGTTATCTCGCTTTCACCACGACAGCGGTCATCAGCTTTATTTTAAATATATATATATATATACTCTCGCCACTGAGGAAGGACTAGTGTTGTCCGAAAGCTCTGGTTCTATTTCTGGCTGTTTACTT